GATGAGGGAGATGGGTAGGGAGAGGAGGGAAATGCAGAGCGGCGGAGAGACGGAGGGACAACGAGATGAACAGAGTGATGAATGGAAGCATGGATAGAAAGACAAAGGGAGTAATGAATGGATGGATGGACAGAACAGATAGAAGGAAGACTGGACAGACAAAGAGATTAATAGATGGATGAATGTGAAGATATAAATAGACAGGTGGACTGACAGAGGGGTGGAGGGATGACAGACAGATGAGCAGAGGGGGAGACAGATCAAAGGGCACTTAGATGAAATGATGGGGTGGGGGACAAACAGACAGGGGCCCAAACAAAAACTGAAGGGGAGAACAGATATGGAGCACAAAGGTACACACACACACACAGAGACAGAAAGACATGCAGGTAGCTGGATAGACGAGCAGACAGACAGATGGATAGATGGATGGACAGTCAGCAACTTAGGTTGCAACACAGAGGCCCCATAGTAGCTGGGGAGGGAAACCAACCCTTACAGGCAGTGAAGAAGGGTCAGTCAGATTCCACAGACGAACAAGAGTCTTCCTCCGGATAAGATCCGCGGAGGTCTTTCTTCTTTGTTGACAGAACGCGAACTCTCGGGCAGATATACGGATCTAATAGGTTTTCTTGCAGATCCTAATTTCTTAATATATTGCTGCAGATGCTCATGGGAAGGGAGTGAAGGAGTCAATCAACAGATGGATAAACGAATGGATGGACAGGTTGATGGGTGGAACCGTGGAAGGATGGTTGATGGATGGACAAATTTGCATGGTTGGACTCGCTGATGGATAGACGAACGTATGGGTGGATGAAGATAAGGGAAGGATGGAATAGAGGACACTGATAAAGCATGAAGCACAGGCCAAAGATATCCTAGGGTTTAGGGTTTTATCAGGCAGTTCGAGAGCAGGCAAACTGAGAGGGATGATTTCATGTGTGTATTCAGAAGGGTTAACTTGAAAGGGGAAGGGGGCAGTCTGTTAAACAAATGGGCAAGACTGACAGTCAATCCTTCCTAAGGGAAGTAATCCAGCTGTCAGGGTTCCGCAGGCCATAAAGTGGGGAAGCGTTGAAAGTGGGGTATACATGCAATTTCAACTTGCCAGCAGATTTAGGACCGGATTTGACACTCCCCAGAATAGGAGCCACGCCCAAGAG